CACACATACACACACACACACACACACACACACACACACACACACACACACACGCACTCACGACATAAAGACAAGGCCTCCCCCTGAGAGACTACAGGGCGCTGAGTTTACTAGAAAATCGGCAGCCGTTTTTTCTGTCCCGCTGATTAAACTCCTGTGAGTCTTTCTGATGACAATAAATCTTGATGTTTCTAAATGTGACACAAAGGAGTGTGTTTAGTGATTCAATCTGATCGCTGCGTTCACGTCGCTGCGTGTGTAAATCTATTTAAAATAAAACGTGATCGAATCAGGCTTGCTCAGTTTGTGAGTTTGTAATCTTAGGTGTGGTTGAGTAAAACAGGCAGCATGGCTTCCATGACACATTTCTCAGTTCCTCTTGTGGTTCTGGGTGGCCGTTGATCACTGCAGTGCATTTTTGGAAGATGTTTCTGTGTGTGTAACATTTGATGTTGGCAATAATAAAAGTCAGGCGAATAAAATATATGTATACTCTGTGACAGAAAAAGGATGTAAGGAGTCTCTTGTTCTCTTTGTAACTCCTGCTTAACATGAGAGGCGGGCAGTAACAAAGTAAATTTACTTGAGTACTTAAGTACAGATTTTGAGAATTTTTACTTTACTTGAGTAACATTTTTATTAAAACGTTTTTACTTTTACTCCAATACATTTTAACGATAAAAATCATACGTTTTACTCCACTACGTTTCTCTAGATACTCGTTACTTTTTGACCGTGTTTGTGTAGTTTGCATCTATTTTGTTCCTGACACAATAAAATTACACACTTCACCCCTATGGTGGCAATAAGCAGCTTTAAACCAGTCGAAATAATAATAATAATAATTACTATTATTATTGTTGTTGTCGTTGTCGTCGTCGTTGTTGTCGTTGTTGTCGTTGTTGTTGTCCTAATAATGTTGCCATAGGTATAGGTGTACTATTGTGGGTCTTTGTTTAGATCCTGATTAGTCCTGATTTTAACATGGACTCGTCTCATTTCAGACCTAAGTTAGAGCATATTAAACTTTTAGTCCCTCTAGAATCTCTACCAAATAAACTTTGTTCAGCTTTTTGTACAGAAACACAGATATTTTGATTTTGTGAACTATTAATATTACAAATAACTAAAAATCTCAGATTAGATTTAGAACTTCTCAATTAGTCACTTAATATGGAGGACGGAAACTTTCATAATTGGAAATAAATATAGAAATATAGAAATGGCTTGAAAAACTAAATGCATGGCTTAAAAAATAATAACGTGGCAAATTTAGCAACCAAACAAAAAAAAATATACTAACTTAACCAATTTATTTGATTAAACAGTGCAACTTTAATTAATATTTATAATTTTTAACAGTATTAATTTAACATTATCACAATTATTTCATTGTTCATTTTATTTCCAGTCACATTTTTTACTCAATTCTATCAAATAATAATGTGCCAAATTTAGCAACCAAACAATAAAAATATACTATTTTTACCAATTTATTTGATTAAACAGTGCAACTTTAATTAATATTTATAATTTTTAACAGTATTAACTTAACATTATCACAATTTTTTCATTGTTCATTTTATTTCCAGTCACATTTTTTACTCAATTCTATCAAAAACTTTTCCAAGCCTTGTCCTTGAAGACTATATAGAGACTACATGAGTTTTTATAAAAGTGGTATAAGTTATAAGATAGATTTCAGTGGTGCAAAGAGTAGGCTTCCGCTCTGCAAACAGCGTGTCGCTAGTTCAAATCCCTGCCCAAGTGCAAACCGTCATTGTGTTCCTGGGCAAGACACTTAATCCAACTTCCAATGTAAAAGCTTAAATCTTAAATGTTGTGGCTTAATGTTGAAGTTTACATTTAAGTATTTCAGAATGGAATGCTAACTCTGCTAATGCGGCTAACGTGGCTAACATTTCCCTACAAGACATCAAATTTGCATTTGCAGTCAGTGTCCAAGCAGCACTGCCGGACCACAGGTACCATCCATATTGTTTTTTAACGAACACATTTTGAATTAAAATTTTAAACGCCATCTTCGGAAGAGTTAGCTGCGTTAGCGTTTGCTTTTGTTGCAGGAGGAAGACATCATAACACGAACCGAGCACCATCAGCAAAGGGTGTGTTCTGTTCTAAAATACTTCAACATTTAGCCACAACATAAAATTTAATTCTTGCACTTAGATTTAGAAGTAAGAATTGCATTTAATAGAATTGGCATTTTATATTTCATATTTTAATTTACCATTAAGTTAAAAAATATTATGTTGGGTGTGTTGTGTTTGTCAACATACTTGGCCAGTAAACCTGATTCTGAAAAAAAAGTAAGAACAATGAAATAAATGATAATACGTTAGTGGAAATTTTTGGACTAGGACTTTTATGGAGGTAAATTTGTGTTTTTATTATTCAATCAAACAAAAAGCATCTTCAATCAAAAAAAAT